ACTTGAAGTAAACGCCAAACCACCGCGTCTGGATAGCGTCGTATAGAAGGCCAAAATCCAGCAGTGGACTATTGTAAAGCCCTGACAAGGACTGTTGAATTAGACTTCTGGTTTAGAAGCAATAGACGACAAGAACGCTGTCACACGTGTTCGTTGTCACACATCTCGCGATGGCGTTGTTGTTGTTAAAATACCGCTCCCGACATTACGTCATATCTTTTTGTCACGGTATAAAAACTTATTATTATGTCTAACAGGGCCCATTCACAAAAGATAAACCTTAGTCTTGTGTCTTTTTCATTCAAATAATGTGTTTTTGTCATGATTTAAAATGAATTATTCGTGTTATGCCGTTTTAAGACTGTACGGAATCAATTATGGTGGATTTGGCAGTAGCTATCTAAGTACATTATTTTTCATTTATAAATTATTCATTTAACAGTTAAGTACATTTAACAATATATTGTCTCAACGCTCTAACGCATATTGATTTTAAGCTGAGCATAATTTAGAAATTAAGTCAGTTAGGTTCTACCTTCAGCTCCTTTCTTTATAAACTCGTTATAAGTGTTTTTTAATCATTAGTGTTGTTTAGCGTTTAACTAATTAATTGTAATTTTAATGACTTTACGCAAATAAATGTAGGTTACTTCATTCTATTTAGTACGGTTCATAATTACCGATGCATTTGGTTATTTCACAGAAAAAGGAATTGTTCTGTTGATTGATTCACAAAAACTGTAAACAACTGCATGTATACGTGCCTTTTTTTTTTTTTTTTCCGTGCGGAAATCCCCTCGGATACCACCTGTCGGTGGCATGTCGGACTCGAAACGACTAAAACCGCACGCCGTCGCCGGGTACTAATAGCCGGGGAACCAGGTATACCCTAGAAAGGAAGTCCCTGGTGCCCCGACATACCTCGGGTCATCTACAGACGAGTAGACGACCCCCCCCCGTGTGGGAACCCCATGTTCCCTGTGCTCCCTGGAAGCGAGCGCGCTTCGCAACGCGCTCGCCGCCACCCCGGCCTGCTTCTGCTAGGGTGACAGATGGCCTCACCTGTCACCCCCAGGCCTGCGCTTATGGAGGACGGAGGTCGTTCTGCGACCTCCGGTGCCTGAGTCGCCTGCGGTACCTGGCCCGTTCCCGGGCCTGGCGGGCCGGGAGAGTTCTAAACCTCTCCCGGTCCCGCTCCGCCGTCTCCTTGGCGAGCATAACTTGCTCGCAGAAGGAGACGGCAGAGTTCCACGCACTCTCGCTCCGCACGATAGCCGCAATCATGCTATCGAGCGAGAGAACTCCCACTCCGATGGCCGCCACGAGGTCTCGCCTCTGCTCAACCCACGCCGGGCACTCTGCCAGTGTGTGGAGAGCCGTGTCCACGGTCTGGCCATCGCAGTGGTGGCACTCAGGCGTTGGCTCCTTGCGGATCAGACACAGGTGATCTCCGAAACATCCCTTCCCAGTGATCACCTGCGTCAATCGGTATGAGAGGGTCCCGTGACGCCTCTCGAGCCAATCCTCCATAACGGGTCTTACCGCCGCGATGACGGCGTGCCCGATGTATATGTGCCTAAGTTTTTGTATTATTTATTAAATATCTTTCATATTTTTTTAGATATATAAGATAGAACTTGAGTATATTAAAATCTGTTGTATTTTATGTAATTTTTAACCTATGCATGCAAAATGACTTGCCATGAGAGATTGATTGATCCACGCAGAGTTTAAACCGCTGTCAGCTACAAACTTGAAGTTTTGGCAGCTGCTTTTTATGTTGTAAGCACCTACTACTTGATACCCAAAAAATCACGCCAGTTAAGTAGCTAGCTCAGTAAAATTAATTTTATTAAATACATTTTAAATACCGCTTTATATCCGTGTGGTGACGGGTTAAGAATTCATCCCGTGGATGTCGTAAGATCCAACTAAGGGGGCAAACTACGTAGGACAACAGCACTGCAAAGAGAAGGAAAATCTGACATAAACCCAAAAACCCTGCAGGCAATAGTTAATTGTATATTTATAAGCGTCTAAATATTTTGGTACGCTTAGGTCCTTTAAGGCTGCTTAAGTTTTTTTATTTAGTTGACATCTACCCTAGAGATCGCTTGATGGACGAAAACTGAGCATTATCCATTAAGTTTTAATTCTATAGTTTTATGCCAATACTTAGAATAACTTATGTACCATAACGGGTCAAGACATATATTATTACCTAAGCATTGAAAATTTTCCCTTTTGAAGTGGACTTTTCACACTTAAAATGCTTACAAGAAATTAATAAAAAACACACTCTCACTTGACACACTCACACACGACCGTCTGATGTCTCAGTCTGATCCCAAACTAGACAAATCCTGTGCTAGGCTAACCAGACTTCACGGGGTGCCAGAGTACCTGAGGCGGCTAGTGGCAGACTATTTAAAGGATCGTACCATCGTATGCGAGGACCGAGATGGTAATTTGAGATGTCGGCCCATGTCGTGCGGTGTTCCACAGGGGTATATAAGGTACGACTGGGCCCTTCGAGCTGATTTCCCCGCCAGACTGGGTGCAATTTGTTATGCCGAAGACACTTTGATCACAGCCCGGAGGGCAAACTTTAAAGAGGTGGCGCGCCTGGCCACCAGGGGAGTCTCTCTGGTACTCGGGCGCATTGAGGCGCTGGGTTAGCTCTTCATCTAGACTTACAGGTGGCCCTGAATAAGACGGATGCCCTCTTATTTCATGGGCCCCGTCGTGGTCCTCCCCCTGGCACCTCTATCCTCTCTAGGCCTCTATCAGACCCATATGTAGAATCTGGGCTTGATAGAGAGAGAGAGAGAGAGAGAGAGAGGGTGGTAATCAAACCCACGACCTCCAGCTTAGCGGTCAGGTTCACTAACCACTACACCAGCAGGCAAACCAAATACTAGTTACTTCCTCCACGAAATTATATATTTTCCCATCTATCAGGGGATATACCTACGAGTATTTCACAATATATATTACACATGTAATCTAATTTTATACATATTTATTTCACCATCTTAAACTTCCTTATAAAATACGGTAACTGCAGCTATTTCAAACATTGTGTTCCTAGTGTTCATCGGAGTTCATCCCCAACAGTACATGTGAGTACAGATTTATTTTAATTTAAAAAGGCGACGCTAGATGTCGTTAAATAAAAAAAAGGTTTTAATACATTTTGTATCTTATAAGCTTTACCAATTAAATACTACCTAATAATTTTATACGTAGGTACCAGTAAATATAAGCGGCGTCAATGTGTTGATCTGTATGCTTCTTTGCCACTTTATTAATTTATTGGTATTAAAGTCTGCTATTTGCCTCCATTAAAAGCTATAGACATTTTATAGTAGAAAGAAGCTTGTTTATTTAGCTAAGATTTTAAGTTATTAACAAATCTCGGTAATATGGATTAAGTTCAGATTATAAGTTTATAATATATGTTTAAATTAGGGATTATAGATATGACACTAATCGTCTCTTATCTGTACTTAAATTTAATGAAGTACTGCGTACTTGATACTAATATGTGTGGATATATGTAGCAGTAAAAGATTGAACTTTTTAATACTAAAAATATGTAAATTAGTATAATTAAATTATTATTTTAGAATATTGATATATCTTTATTTTTCGGACTAATAGTTATTTGTAAACTATTTAATCTGTGCCTCTGCTTGTGCCATGAGTGAAGACAACAATGAAAACACACACAATGAAGTGTTAAACACAGTTCTTTTATTTTTGTAGGAGAGTTTTCAACGATTTATTTAAGATTTAAAAGGGCAACATTATATTTAAAACCCTTAAATCGGTTGTTTTACATCTATAGTCACTACACTCACAACAAATACCTTTTACTTAACTAATTGATTGTTGTGCCAGCTATTTCATGTTTAAGATGATGACGAATTTGCCTTTAAATAAATTTTTAAGAGGAATTAAATGGCCGTTTTGTTTTGTTTTGTATAATCGTAGAGACGTTCCTTTAAAGGACTGCTCAATACACATCGATACGTAAACAATAATTTGTCAACTCTCACAATTTTGTTTCTTGTTCAACACTTTTCCCTTTCTGTAGGTAGGTACTCTTTTTTACACAGTTAATCCTTTTTTCTGTGATCTTTTCTCCTTTTGTATCCTTGTACTCTTGTTGTGGTGAATAATAAAAAGTTTGTCTAGTTTTAAAATCTTTTTATTATCACTTCAGACGTCAAATGGATAATTTGTTGGTTATGGCTTTGTTTTTGAACGTCGTAACTCAAATAACAAATTACCTAACTCGTGTAAAACTTCAGTGATTTATAAATACAGTGAATTTGATTTCACACAGTCAATGATTGTAAAACAAATGTAAACACAGTAATAGATAAACAGTACGTATTGTGTGCAGAGTGCAGTATGCAATAAATTTTAACAATAGTTTTGTTTTCATCTTATCTTTGTAGGCCGTAGTGTTGTACTCGTATTACCTAAGTGTAATATGTATATCCTCATCATCATCAACAACCTATCACAGTCCACTGCTGGACATAGACCTCTCCTTAGGCAAGAGGTTTTGGCCTACTATACCATGCTGGCCAGGCGGGTTGGTATAGCGTTTATTTCAACTTTACCCGCCTTGGCAGTGCTATCGTCCTGCGTAGTTTGCTCCCTTAGCCGGCTCTTAAATTGTGTGATTATTATGATCATTTGTTCTGTGTCTGTGTGTTCTAGTAATTTATCTACAATATGTGTGTATTTAGAAATATATAAGTATGTTTATTGGCTGTTTGGCTATCATAGTATAGGCTCTGCCTAGTTGGGGATCAGAAGGCCGTGTGTGAGATGTGTGAGAATATTATCATCATATGATCGTGGACCCTGTCGGGCACAGCACTGGGAAATGGTTCTATTAAAAAAAAACACAGAACAGAGTAAAAATGTTAACGAATTTTCAACGCAAATTAATATATATATAAATTAAACATTCGGACTATAAAATGTACAATGCGGTTCACCTGTTATCAAAGCGAGATAATGTTATCGTGTAACGGTACATTCGTCACAATGTAACTAAATGAGCAGTAATACTACTCTACTAATACCTAATTTAGTTTTTTTTTTATGTTAGAGGGGGCAGACGAGCAGATGGGTCAAGTGATGGAAAGTGACCATGGCCTAGGCCCATGTACGTCTGCAACTTACAAACGCGTTGCCAGCCTTTTAGGAAGGAATACGCTCTTTTCTTGAAGGTTTGAAGGTCGTATCGGTCCGGAAATACCGCAGACGATAACCCGTTCCACAGATTGGTCGTGCGAGGCAAAGTGTCTCGAAAAGCGCACAGTAGTGGAGCGCCAATTATCCAGGTGATGAGGATAATTTTTTTGCCGTGGAGATGTTTTGGCTATCGACGATTAAATTGTTATTTAAAATTTCAATGAGACACCTTGAAATCTAAGTACAAATGACTTTCCCTGACAGACTTATTCACCAACGCAGTCAACGCAAACCCTAATCTGCTGGGGCTACAAACTTGAAATTTTGACAGCTGAAGCTTTTAAAATTTATAAGCACACTATCAATGGTGTCAATTCGGGGAGCACCTGAAATATTATGGTCCGTTGGTTGACCTAGAATTGTCAATTTTGGTTAAAAGCAAGGTCTTGCAGCACAAGTAAAGAGAAAATTCTTAAAAAAAAGCCGTGTGGTGTCGTGGGACACCCGATAGGAACGAAGTTGTTACGATCGAGTAAAACTGATTAGACACGATTTTAATTACAACGCCATCTATGAAAGCGGCTATTACCTACATATTTTTCAGTTGGTTTCTAATTAAAACAATTTATACATTGGTAAAATCTCCTTGAGAAATGATGTCGAATACAATATTTTTTGCTCAACCTAAGAACATAAATTTAAATTTTACTATTCGATAGATGGCGCTGAATGACTGACAAGTGACAATTCAAAATAAAAAGTGTGGTGACCAATTTTCGTAAGATTTTTTTGCGTCTAGCCCCCTTTCACAACGCGCGATAAGGAACTTCGTTCCAATAAAAATAAAAAAAGGTGGAAATTAAGTTAAATTTGATACTTACAAGTTTTTGGGTAAATCGAAATTTGCCCATATCTTTATATCGTGTTGATTTAGGACCTTGATTTTTATACACCTAATAGGAACCATAGACCTCAGTATCTGGTATAAATTTCAACTTGTTAGGTCTACCCGCTACTGAGAAAATCGGTGGTGACACACGGACAGACAAACAGACGGACAAGAAAGTCATCTTATAAGGGTTCCTTTTTTACCTTTTGAGGTACGGAACCCTAGTAAGCACCCACTAAGACAGGGTAATTGGAAATTTCACTCGTAGTAGGGTACAATAAGAGATAAAATTCGTCATTTTTAAAGTTTGAAACACGAAATAAGAATGGTCGTTTCCGTGAGGTCGTGGTATCTCTCCGTATAAACGTAATACAAGACAGAGATAGTGGGCCCTATCGAAAGACACGGGTAAGATATAACACTGTTTACTTAACGTCACAGTGACTGGTTGTTCGTCATTCATGAATACCTACAAGAATATTGGTGACATGAAAAACAGACGTAAGACTACAGTTGTGTCTTGGAGATAGAACAGCCAAGTAGGTATATGCAAGATATTTATTAAATTACAATAACACGGCCAGCGGTTTGTTTTGTGGTGAAAAATTGTTTTTTGTTCGTTAAAATGATTGAAAACAACTTCTTTTTTTACATTAATTTATATAACAGTAGGTTCGTGTTACGTAATTCATTTGAATTGACTAAAACGGTGTGATGTTTGTTTTTAAAGGTTAATTTTCGTGTGTTTGTGTTATCACCAATGATATAATGGATTGAAAACAGTTACTTTACTAAAGCGTGGGTATTATTCTAAATAAGATATTTATTTTTAATATGAAAATTTGTTCACGTTTCTGGAACAAAGTCCCTTTGCAGTGACCAAATAAAACGTTAAAACGTATACTACGAGTAATACAGGATTTTGTATAACGTTAAAAACGGTTACAAGACAACCCTTCTTTCTCGTTTGCAGTCAAACGACAGTACTATATATATGTATATATATATATATATATATATACTTTATTAAAAGTTATGCAAGTTTCTTATCTGTCTTTTATCGGATGCAGTTCGGATGTGCCATAAATGGACATAATTTGATTATATTTTTATTAAGATAATTGTCATGATTACTGTTTTAGAAGCAATTTCACAATAGATAAAACTACAGTTTTTAGAAAAGTATATCGAGTGATCCTCTCGACACGTACTTACGATTTAAATCTCAGAATAGTCAGACTATCATTCTGTGATTTCATTGCTTAGACGTGTAACTCTAACTTTGAGTAGGTTTAAAGGACCGTGGGGATAGGAGAGGATGTCCAGGTAAGCTCAGTTGGATGCCGGTTACCGAGTAACCACCTAAAAACGCGTCGGCTGGGTGTACTATTATTCTCTTATTGTCATAGCACCAACATCAAACCCACCAAAGTCACACAAATGGTTTTAATGGGTTTGGTGTTACCAGGTGTCACCCATAAGGGTTTCATAGTTTCATACTTATTATCCTGGTACTTCGATATTTCTTTTCCTAGTCCTTTCTCGATGTTAACTTCCCGAAATAAAACATTCCAGTAAGCGTAACCGATGCTCAGATATTAAATAACATAACACAATACAAGGTTATCAGGCCATGTTCTATTTTCATAACCTTTCTTTAACTCTCTACTTGTTCGCATTGCTGATAATAAGTGCCATTACGAACATATTTTACTGTTGGATACAATATTACTTTCAGTTTTGCTTCTTTCTTTTTCTCTGTATCGATTAAGCAACAGGTCAGTTGATTTTTTAACTTCTATTTCCTGGACTACAATTAAGAATACAGAGTGTCACCACCCCTATTCATTCCGTGGGTGTCGTAAAAGGCGACTAAGGGAGCGAAATACGCAGGACACCAGCACTGCAGAGAGAAGGAACACTTGAAACAAACCCTATACCAACCCGTCTGGCCAGCGTGGTATAGTAGGCCAAAACCTCCTTTCTAAGGAGAGGCCTATGTTGGCTGTTGATGTGATGATGTGAGGTCCGATTTTTTATGCAGACAAAGAATTCTAAAGCTCCTATGATATATACTCTCTCTCTCTCTCTTCACTTCTCTCAAAAGAAATAACCTTTCTCCGTCTTCGAATCATTTTTCATAAATGTTCAGCTCCTATTAGTCACAACCTGATGTTATCTAGCCCTGTTATATTCCCTTCCTCAATAAATGGGATATCCAACACCAAAAACAACTAAGTATCAAAAAAAAAAAGGTCCAACTTAAAATCAATTTAATAAAAACAATCAAGTTATCATAATAAGCTATTTCACGTGGCCCGCTTACGTGTTTATTATCAAATGTCACTACAACACTCCCTACTAACGCAGGAGTTCGATAGTTGTAATTATAGTTAGCTGTATAACGTGTGAACAAGTGAAAGTAATGAGTACTTCCAGTGATATTAAACTGACATCTCTAAACCCAGTAAGTAGCAATTCCTTTGTGATTTTAATGGGTTTCTTTTTTATTACACATCTGTTGTCTTCTTGGTGGTAAGACCTAATCGTCACCTAAAAGTAAGAAAGTGCCAACTATGTGGGACTCGGAAAAAGTGTTTTCGACATTTTAAAGACTTCGACGACATGTTTTGACGTTACCAACGTGTGACGTCACAAGTTGTTTTTGAAGACTCTAGAGACATTACCGTTGTGACGTTTCAATAGAGATAATTTTTTATTAATAATTTGTCTTGTAAGTCAATTACACTATTGTATGTGAAATTTGCTATCATTTGTATGACATAAACCTACCTTACACACAAAAGAATAGTCGGGGAGATTACTATTCTTTATATTGAATTGGGGATAAACGAGAGTCGGGTCACCTTTTAGTAAGTGAGTGCCGCCACGGGCCCCCACCCCCGAATCAGGAGGGTGTAACCTACTGGTTTGGGCTACGGTAACCTCACTGAAAAGGGTGGTAAAAAGTAACTAATTACTTTACACCGATTGTATTCCACAGTATAATATTATTATTCTAAACTACCTTTTGCGTGATTGGGTTATCTCCTTTCCCTTGGGGATAGTACTTTTTCCTGGACAAAAGGTAATTTACCTTTCATCCAGGAAAATTGCTGTATTTTTCTGTGATCCTAACTACTTATGCGAATTTTTAAAGATGCTTAGTTGTAAAGGTAGTAGGTTAAACCTCCTTTCTAAGAAAAGGCCTATGTCTTGCAGTGGACTATTAAAAGCTGTTGATGATGAAGTTGTAAAGGCAAGTTTGTATTTATGATGTCTTTAGGATTTTATTCTATTACCAAATACGATTGACAATGGCGATCACCTACAATCACGAGTGTCTTATGTAATCAATCAATTATCGAAATTGAATTTTCTAGATATTATAACGATAATCAGTGGAAAACAATCTTATTACATGATCCATTATTTGTTATCGGTCCACACCGGGCGTGGCAAACAAACAAACAATACCTATTAATTAATTTATTAATTTGTAAACCTGAAACATGTGACTTGTGGAATTTTTTTTGGAAAGTTACCTAAGTTCTATGAGTTGCCAAGTAATTTTATAAATGCGAATGTATTTGTTAAGAGAAGATATATGTCTTTTGAGTTCCGGAAGCAAGGGGATGATAGGGTCACGCCCACCCCTAAATCGTACGGGAAAATTGATAAAATGTTTGAACAGAAATTCGGCACTAAACCCCTCTGAAAACTTTGACTGCGACCTCTTTTGTATTAACTATACAGATCTGTGTATATCAAACTTTTACAGTCAAGGACTAGGAAGATTATCTTACCTAAAAGACAGAAAAAAATTCTTTTCCAACAGGATACCTACAATTATTTTATACATTCACGCAAGCGAGGACGTAAACAACAGCTAAGGTTTATATGTAAATACAGTCAGTTTTTATGTAGGTACAGCTGAAAAAAACCTAAGTTGTATTGTATTTGATTACTGGGTAGTGCAGTCACATTTTATGACTGGCCTGTGTGAAGGGTACAGGAAATTATCTAGTAAATAACATCAGCAAGTCACAACAACTACCAACTGATATAAGAAACGAAGTATTTTATTCTCAATCTGTATTTCTAAGTCCGTGTAGTAGCGATTAAAAATACGGAATGTCACTACAGTATTTTTCTGTATTCCTAAGTCCGTGTAGTGACGACTAAAAATACGGAATGTCACTACCCCGATTCATCCCGTGGGTGTCGTAAGAGCCTGCTAAGCCAGTTTTCCTTATCGTGTTTTTTAGACATTACATATGTTATTACATAGCAGTGCATGCTATGTAATAAATATTTTTTTCTACTTTCGTCAATTTGAGTTGACCTATCTTATCAGTAGTGTACTAATATTATATTTTAATAACATGGAAGGTCATGAATACAGTGAAATACTCGTACCCATGTATTTTTCCCCATTTTTTTTGAACATAATTATTTTCAAGTTATTTAGTTATGACGATAGCGACGTATGACGTCACAGGTTATTTGTTTTTACGCTTAATAAAAATAAACCGATATGGTCGACACCTGGCGTATTGTAAGTTACGTATCATGTGTATTTAAATATTCCAGTGCAAAATGTCTAAGCGCACGGCACTGAACGAGAACTACAAGGGTTTGGTGGAAGAACTCCCCATCCCTGCGGAGGTGCACGAGAGAGATGGCAAGAAATACGCAAGTTTCGGGTCCACTATTCCCATTCACAGCTGCTCCCCAGACGAGGTTAGAGAAAATACTTACGTGCTACGTACAAAGGGTTATTTTAAAAAGATTCTTGCAACACCACTAATAGAGGTTAAACTGCTGTACTTGAGTAAAAACAAGGATTTATTTAGTTTCAAATAAATTGAGTACTTGGAATAGTCCACGCTATTCCGTTCAAAATGAGTAGGTACTATAAAAATATTTTTGTATTTCAATAAAGTGGGTATATTTTAAAAATGTACATTTTTAATTTGTGTTTTAAATACAAATAGTAAAATAGTGTATTTTGTATAATTTGTATTTTAATTTAAAGTAAAGCAATTAAGTATTAAGTCCAGGTTTTATAATATACTAAGCAGCGGACTATTTAATCGTTCATAGGTCGCTGGTTCATATCCGGCTCGAAGGACCACGATGTACGGGTTATGGTCACCATACAGGGAAAATAAAAGATAGAGTTAAGCCAACCTGGTTTATATTAACTTAACTAAATCTATAATGGTATGGTTAGATGGTCTGAGTACAACCTAACGGAATGGTGACCAAAAATGCACTGTTTTCATGTAATGGTGAAATAACGAGGTAAATTGCTGACCTTGTGTCTGCTTGTGTCGATCCTTGGATCGGTCACCTTGATATCTCTAGGCAGTCTTTTCATGTTCATAATATTTGAGCTCTATAACATTTCCAGATCAAACAGTACGCAAACAAAACGCACCACTACTGCGACGTCTTCACAGAACAGTTACTGGCGCCGCTTGGTGAACTGGTGTACGTGAGGCTTGACGAGAACACGGCTGAGAAGGTGAGCTCCGTTGTATTTCACCATCAGCATTTTCGTATATTTGTAAAAGAATACCTTGGACTGCCTAGGATTCTTTTATGTTATTTTGAATTATTGTAATTAGAATTTGAATAGACGGTATTGCCTAACGGAGAGGTAGATAGATTTATACATTTGCTCAAAATTGCAGACAGAAATAATAATAATGCATGACAATTGCAAGTAGTACTTTCCATTAGTGTTTTTTTTTTAAATCGGTTTACTGGTTTAGGCATGAAAGCATAACAAACAAAAAACTCACTTTTACATTTATGACACAAATATGGATAATTGGAGCCATGCATATAGCATACTTTTCAAAGCAATTAAACGAAACCCAAAGAAAAAAGAAGGTCATATACTTACAAAGTTTAGCCATCAAAGAAGCCATCAGATACTGGCAATACCTACTGGCAAATAAGTAAACTTTTCCCAGGATATTCAGACCACAATCCATTGGAGAGTTCAAATATTAAGTGTAGAACAGACGAAGAGCTAGGAAAATACTTGTCCTATTATCTGTCACAATATGATTTCAAAATTAAATAAGCTCCAGGAAAAGGAAAATGTAGAGGAAATCTGTATATACCTAGTATTAGACGCAAATTGAAGAGCAAAATAGGGAAGAATAAATTTGATACATAAACAAAATAAGAAAAAATAATACTGTCAGTGATTTTAGTACTAAGCATAAAACATAATAATAAAGTCCTACATCTGGTAATGTTTCCTTGGCAGGTGTTTATCAACCGCAACAAGCGCATCTTACTGGTGTCTAGCGACGGCGAGCTGGCGCAGTGGCGCTGCGCCCCCACCTTCGAGTCCCCCAACTCGTACATGGCGGGCGCGCCCATCGTCAACAAGGACGGCGAGCTCGTCTCCGTCGTCACAGCTAAGAAGGGCAACCATTACGCCGTCTCTACTTTTGAGGTATGTCAGAGCATAAGTAGAAAAGAAGCCATAATAAGCTATTATATCCTTAGATTCCAAAACCAGCTGCTATATATGTAAACACGTGTATAGTCACCTTGCCATCGTGATTGAGTCTTTAACAACCTTTATCATCTTAAATAGTTAAATTATAATAATTTGCATTCTTCACCTTTTAATTTTTTATCCTTAGACGTGGAATTTATGTAGCCTCGGTACCACTTGCTCATCGTCAGGTACAAAACATTATTTTTCCCACTTCAGGGAGTTTAGTTGTTGTAGGTATATGTACCGTTCCGTGTGGTGACGGACTAAGAATACGGAATGTCACCACCCCTATTCATCCCGTGGGTGTCGTAAGAGCCGACTAAGGGAGCAAACTACGCAGGACAACAGCACTGCAAAGAGAAGGAAAACTTGAAACAAACCCTAAATCAACTCGTCTGGCCAGCGTGGTATAGTAGGCCAAAACCTCCTTTCTAAGGAGAGGCCTATGTAAAGCAGTGAAATTTTAAAGGCTGTGGATGTAATGATGTATTTGTACCCTAATTATGAGTTTTTATGTTATTTACTAGTAATTTAAAAACTGCCTAACCAAGTCAGTGTAAAGAAAAAAAAAGAATTCTCCTTTCTTAGAAGTCGCATAATACTTATACTTGGTATGATTAAAATGGAATTTGCGTGTCGTTCGTCAGGGTGAGGGCGGCTACTTCGACACGGCCGTGCCGTGGCTCGTGCTGGACGCTCCCGAGGGCGCCAACATCTACGGCGCCAAGACGTTCGCCACGCGCGAGCAGCTGCGCGAGCACGTGGCGCGCCTGCCCCCGCCCGAGGTGTCCCCGCAGAGCCCGCCCGTGCCCGTGCTGCACCGCGGTAACAGCCCCCGCATCATCCTTCTCGCCCAGAACGGCCGCCAGATTTCCCACCAGTTCTTACACGGAGTCATCACGATGGATGTGGAGTACTTGTAGAGTTGTAGGATAGTGAGTGTTCAAATGTTGATAGAATTTACAACCAGTGGGCAGTGTTACTTTGAATGTTAAGAAGGTACTGCAAGCGAAAATTTGTATGTCTCCGAGTTAAAAAATCATCTGTTTTCGTAAAAGTAATGTTGTATTAAATCGTTTTATTTATTACACGACTGCCTAAAATGCAGTATAACATTTTAGGGTTCATGTATTTTGTTATTACACCTATGATCTATGGTAAATAGTCTATCGTTAAAATCTTTATATAATCTATGAGATGCATTTATGAACATGTAGCGCCATTTTTATTTTAAATCATCAAGAATCCATGTGTTTTAGAATAATTCTATTTTTTTAAAGGAATTTCATCATTGAATAACCAATGTTAACATTATTTTTGTTACCAGTTATATTTGCCAGGTAGTGTGTTGAATTTTCTACAATTGTATGCATTAACAGTTTGTGTTAATATTTTGTTGTTTTGTATTATTTTTCTAAATAAAATTTTGTCATTAATATTGTATTCTTTTATTTACAACGCACTTCTCAAACAATCCTTAAATATTATAAAATAAAGTTCCCGGTCGCCTCTGTATGAATGCGATAAATTAAAAAACTACTAAACGAATTTTTGTACGCCTTTCACCAACAGATAGTGTAACTCCTGAGTAAGATTTAAATCTGTAATTTATAATGGTTTTATGTATATTGACTAAAATATAATGTTTATTGTTGAAGAGGCCATAAAAATCTTCGGGATTTTTATGACCGGGAATGAAATGAATGAAAATGAATGAATGAAATCGGGAGCTTCACCAAACCGCCACGTAAACCAGCAGAGAGACATTAAAGTATTGTACGAGTACTAAATAATTGTAGATTTACAATAATACTACAAGAATGTCCATCTCCATCTCCTCTGGTTGACAAACAATAACTACTTTTATGTCCAAAATATTAATTAATAATATTACGTTATTTACGAAGCTGTTTTTTTTTCTGTTCGTTTAGAAATGGTTAGTCACGAATAGAAAATGAAACAGTCCAAAAATAGAGGCCAAGTTTGCAACTAGGTAGGTACTACCGGGTTGTACACTAATTCTTAACTCCCGGTCTTTCATCTAAGTTTTTTTTCTATGAATGAAAAAAAAGTTGAAAATTAAGGTAAATGTTGGTACTTACAAGTATTCGCGAAAATCAAAATTTGTTCATATTTATCGTGTTGACTCAGGACCTTGATTTTTAAACACCTAATAGGAACCATAGACCTCAGTATCTGGTATAAATTTCAATTTGCTAGGTCTACCCGTTCCTGAAAAAATCGGTGGTGACATACGGACAGACGGACAAGAAAGTGATCTTATAAGGGTTCCTTTTTTACCTTTTGAGGTACGGAACCCCAAAAAACAATAAAACTGTCAGAGGAGTTAGTATTATATTTATAAAATTAATACACGTATGAAAATGTATCATACAGGCATAAAACAAATGCAAAAGAAAATAATAATAATTTAACAAGAAACATATTGAATGATTTATGAACACACTGTGAAATATGTCATATATCATGGATAAAACCAGAGGACCAGCTTAATATGGTTGAATCTTAGATTATTAATATTTATAATATCCAAGGGTTAAATGTCCTACTTAGGTCTTGCATGAAAACCATTTGAAATTGTTTAAATAGACACGATTGTAGCATTTGGTGGTGGTGACAAAAACTAATTGCACCTTTTAGAGGACTGTTCCACTCGATAAACACAAACTTGGATTATTAAATCTAAGCAAACTATGCAGGACAACAGCACTGCAAAGAGAAGGAAAACTTGCCACAAACCCTACACCAACCCGTCTGGCCACCGTGGTATAGCAGGCCAAAACCTCGTTTCTAAGAAGTGGCCTATGTCCAGCAGTGGACTATTAAAGGCTGTTGATGATGATGATATGCAGTAACGTCAAAGACACCGAGCGCAAAGGTCTTTATAAAACATAAGTCATAATAATATCTGCCTATTTGCATGGTTCTCACCGACTACGATTCAGGCATTAATTCAAAAGAATTTAAAGTTTTTTAGCTAGAAAAGTAAATTATGTTGATTTTCAGTTGCAGTAAATTCACCGTTTTCTAATTTCCTGCGATCTGTTTGAGCTATGAAATAATAATATATTTGATAAATTAATTAAAATTAATTAATATGACTGAGAAATGGTCACAAACTTCTAACAAAAGTTGAACCCACCTAGCAAAACGTGGAAAAAAAAAAATAGCCGGAAGGCAACAAGGAGTTAGTAGTAAAAAAAGGTTTTGATACTTTTATTAAATATTTTAAACGTTATTAGTGCCAGGTTTTTCTGATGTGACCAATGTGACCAAATGAGTGTTCAGGTGAGTTGGATTTTTTAGCAGTCAATGTTACTGCAGGTGGACGAATGCCTCTGTAAAGGTCACAAATTTGGACTGCACGGATGGCGTAGTGGTTTAAGCGGTCGCCACGCCGCTTCCTACTACGCTGACTGTAGTGGGTTCGATCCCCACAAGGGGCGACACTTTGTGTGATACACAAATTGTTGTTCTGAGTCGGAGTGTTCTTAGTGTCCGTTTCATGTATGTTTGTAAAGTCCCCCGCGACATAGGATATATTCCTAATGCGGGAGTTGTCTTTTAACAAAAGAAAGAAAAAGATGAAAATATGTAAATTAACTTAAATACTTATATCCATGTGGTGACGGATTAAGAATACAGATGTCACCACCCTTATTCATCCCGTGGGTGTCGTAAGAGCCGAGTAAAGAAAAAAACTACGTAGAACAACAGCACTGAAGCGAGAAGGAAAACTTGACACAAACCCTATACCAACCCGTCTGACCAGCGTGGTATAGTAGGCCAAAACCTCCTTTCTAAGGAGAGGCTTATGTCCAGCAGTGGACTGTTAAAGGCTGTTGATGATGATGAGTAGCAGAAAAGTGTACTTTCAAATAGTTACTGAGATTAGTTTAATTATTAAATAACCCTAATATTACGAAACTGCTTCATAAGTAAGGTAAACCGCATTCATTTCATAATCCTTTCTCATTTATGCACGTAAAAGCATTAAATTGTAGGGCATTTCGACGTCTTTCGACTGACCAAGCTTGATGTTAGTTAACTTTATTGTTATTTATTTAAAATAATGAAAAATCTTTCATGTATTATAAGTATACACAGCAGCAGAACGAGTTATAATTTTCCAGTATAAACTCACTTCTCGTTTTATAGATTTTCTGTACAAGCGGATATCATCTTACACTAGAAATGTAAAGCTTGATCTGTTGCTGTATCTTCATGTTTTTACACGCTTTATATTAGCTTCACTTGTATGTATGTTTGTAATCGACTCCTTTGGGCGGGATTTTGACTGACTTTAAACGGTCAGAATTCGTTCAAACTTTGTAGATATATCGAGGACCAATGACAATACACTAATTTACAAAAAAAAAAAATAGTTTTAAAAAACTAAACGACACGCTTTCTATAGAAAACCACACTAAAAAATAGAAAATAAATTTGAAAAAAAAGCGTGGTGTGCTTTTTACTATTGACGACAGGCACCCAACGCAATCAAAATCAGATTCTGGCTTGCTTAAATACCATAGAAAAGTGAGGATTTTTTTTTGCCTGTGGTCCTGAAGAAATAGTCATTGGTGCAACCTTCGGTATCCGCTTCAACACCTTTTTTTTGTCTGTACGGAAATCCCTTCGGATACCACCCACCGGTGGTTATGTCGGACATGAACCGACCAAAAACCGAAAGCCGTCTCGGGTAACAGTAGCCGGGGAACCAGGAGTACCCTACGAAGGAAATCCCTGGAACCCCGACGGACCCCGGCAAATCTATGGCTTGTAGATGACCCCCTTGTGTGTGGGAACCACGGTGTTCCCCTTCTACAACCTACAGGGCTCGCGCCACCACACATTTATTGGGATTTCATGTTTGTTGCAGCATTCTCCTCCCAACTTTAAACCACAGCGTAGTCTAAAACCCAACATCGGCATTGAAATGAAGCAGTATTAAGAGAGTAATACCAAGGGTCGCTTTGTGTCAAGGGTTTTTTCTACACGGAAATCCCCTCGGATACCACCCTGCGGTGGGGTGGTTATGTCGGACTCGAACCGAAAAAAAAGGTCGTTCTGCGACCTGCGGCACCTGAGTCGTCTGCAGTATCTGGCTCGTTTCCGGGCCTGGCGTGCCGGGAGTGCTCTAAACCTCTCACTCAGACCTCTAGTTTGTCTGGAAAATCCACTAGGTTGGCAACACTATCTAGAAGAGGCTGTTGATGTGATGTGATAAGGTAAAAAGTTGAATACAAAGTATCAAAATCACTAACACACATTACTATAAATCATAAGTAGATATAAATTGGAAAAAGAAAAGGAAGTTCGATATTCGAAGAATCGATAATTTTAAAAGAAATTATTTAGATTTATTGTAATTAGTAACAAATACCTTGGCTTAGTCGATAGACGTTTTTGTCTATCCGAGAGGGCTTTCTTTTTGGTACCTTGATATTGATTATCAGTGTTACCAACGTATTGAATTTTCCACCAAAACTGGTGGTTGCGACCGCCCTGTTAATGGCGGAATATTGCTTTTAGTGGCTAGTGGACTCTTCTAGTGGTTTAGTAGTAATAGTCAGATTGTAGAGGACTTAGGAAATGATGTTGAAAGACGAACTTACTCATCTCCTGTTTGATTGTACAAACCTCAAGAACCTTTAATAGGAAAATAAGGATGGCGATTGGACGGAAGTGCAAATGAAGAGAAGGATTATTAAATTTAGGTAATGGTATGATGTAGGTGTTAATGTGCCAGAGAGGGAAGGTTCCGGCGTCGATAGAAAAGTAAAAAATATGGGCTATGACATCGACGACTCGTAGTCTTTTGTGTTTCGTACGTGTACGTGTATTGTTTAATAGAAAATGTATGGCTATACAGTAGGGCCGTTTTTTATTAGCGGTTTTCTGGTGGTTCTAGATGTTGAATTTAGTGGAGAGCTAATTTAACTGTTGGCAACACTATTAATTATTGATTGACAGTGGTTGTCGTAAAATACGTAGAAAGATAATACAGTTTGTTTAGTTCAAAAGAGCGACAAAAAGTTTAAATAAATGGCGTATCTTTGTTTCAAAGGTAATCTTTGTTACGTTACGATAAAATGATTTGTGTGATTGATTTGAAACTCTATAATAACGGAGCAACGGTTTGATTTGCCATATACTACAAAAAGGGTGCTATTAGACTTCTTGTATATTTTTTAATAATACCCGCTAAACTGTGAGTTTTGTTTTATTCGTAATGTCTGTAAAACCGGTGTTGTATCACTCCAATAGAAAGAGAGGATCATTCGCGCACACTGTGATCATGACCGGCGGACTGCTTTGCCCAGCAGATGTTAAGCAGTTGTATAATAATATGTATATTGTAATCAACCCTAAAACTGATGCGGAATTAATATAGTTTGTCGGCAGTTGGTGTCTCCGATGTCCTTAAAGTATGTTTTCTTTACTGTATATGAAAGTCGGCACCATAACATAATATCTAAAATCTGGTAATGTTCTTCAGGTTCTTATCAACCGCAAAAAGCGTGTGTCCGTGGCCAGCGACCACAATCTCGCCCAGTGCCACTGCACATCCGCCTTCAAGTCCTCCAATTCGTATATGGCAGGCGCCTCCACCGTGAACAAGGGCAGCGAGTTCGTCTCCATCGTCAGCGCCAAGAAGAGCAACTACCACACAATCTCTGAGGTACGTAAAAATATAAGAGGAGCCATTATACGGTGTATCCTCTAATTTCAGAACAAGCCACTGTACATGTAAACATCACATCAGGATTTTTTGTTGTTATTCCTCTAATTTTGACGTTTTGCTGTTAATTAGAAGAAATAAATTGATATTACAAATAAAGGAGAATGGCAGGCATGTATGGGACCTTTGTACATACTACTGCGGTCATCAAAAAATATATGTAATGGCAATATTTGATGATTATATTAGCAGTCAGTAATGTCTAATGAATCAAAAAATTAATGTGGTTACGTTGCAAAAATTTTGTTAAATAGTGTTATTAAATTAAAAGAATTTGGATTCCTTACCTCTAATTTTTTACCCTTAGATGTGGCATTTATAAAAGCTCCATTGGTCTTGTATTAACTGCTCATTTTCAGGTACAAAACATTATTTTTCCCAGTTCAGGGTGTTTAATTATTGTATGTATTTATCTATTTGGTGACAGATTAAGAATATGAAGTGTCACCACATGAGCCGTCTAAGGGAGCAAATTATGTAGGACAACATTTTAGTACTGCAGAGATGGGGAAAACTTGAAACAAATCCTATACCAACCCGTCTGGCCAGCGTGGTACAGTAAACCAAAACCTCCTTTCTAAGGAGAGGCCTATGTAAAGCAGTGAAATATTAAAGGCTGTGGATGTAATGATGTCTTTGTACCCTAATTATGAAGTTTAATATTATTTACAAGTAATTTTAATACTGCCTAAACAAGGCAGTGTAAAAAAAAAAAAAGAATTCTCCTTTTTTAGAAGTAGCATAATAATTATACTTGGCATGATTAAAATTGAAATATCGTGTCTTTCGTCAGGGCGAGGTCGGCTACTTCGACACGGCCGTGCCGTGGCTCGTGCTGGACGCTCCCGAGGGCCAAGATGTTCGCCACGCGCGAGCAGCTGCGCGAGCACGATTTCCCACCGGTTCTTACACAGAGTCATCGCGAGGGATGTGGAGTATTTGTAATTTGTTGAGTTTTTAGTGAGTATTTAAATGTAGAAATATGTCTCCACATCATTTTATTTATTTCATGACTGCCCAAAAAGAAATGTTACATTTTTTAGGGTTTATGATTTTTTGGTATCCCACCTTTTTTTCCATAGTAAATATCATCTATCCTTAAAATCTTTATATAATCTATGGCATTTATGATTGGCGCCTTTTTAGTATTTAAAATATTATCATTGTTTTTAGAACATATAACATTTAAAAAAAAAAAGACATTTTATCTTTAAATAACAAATGATAATAATATTCTTGTTACGTTTGTCAGGTGGTGTGTTGAATTGGCCACAATTGTTTGCATAGTTTGTGTTAATATTTTATTACGTTGTATTATATTTTTACGAAAAAATAAAACTAAGTTAATAATATTGTATTGTTTTATTTTCAACGCCATTACTGTGTGTTCTGTAGTTATACTTCTGAATCATGACGTGTTAAAAATAAGGAGTATCACCACCCCCATGGGTGTCCTAAGAGCCGACAAAGGTAGCAAACTACGCAGAACCACAGCGCTATTCGTGAGTATTATTTGTGAATATTTAACTTTACTTTTATTTTCGGACTGCCAGAAATCAGGATAGTCAGAACTCCTGAGGGGAGAGCCTTCGTTCAGCAGTGGACGGCGATAGGTTGATGAGGAGTATTTGACTGGCCTGTTGTTGTAAACGTTGGTGATACTGCTGCTAAGCCAGGGGTTGCGTTGTGAAATAATATCACACTAATTTCGCACTTAAGTGAGAATAAATACCCAGCAGTAAATGGCAGTCTAACTCTCTAAACACCATGAAAAATGTGCAATAAATAATGCATAAGCATCCTAAAACTAAGCCTTATCATTGTATGTACGGTACAAATACATTATCTAGGCCCTAGGCTAAAATAAATTAGCATAAAACAAGAACCGAACAAAGATAACAGAAGCTAAACATGGTCGCAATTGTTACAACTATTCTTTGACAAAACACAGAGAGCTATGACGTCTGTAAAACATATCATACACTTCATTATATTTTTAATATTTGAAGTGGATTCTGTACCAAATAAATTAAGACAGGTTAATAACAGAATAAATTTTAATGTATTCGAAGACACTACCAAGCTAACAGTAAACACAGCTAGTTTCAACAACGGTTTCAACTCAGTTTCAAATTTAGAAAGAGAATATAACGAAGAAATAGAAGAAGCACAGAGATCAGCTAACTTTAATCCTTTAAAAAAAGAAGATCATTCTTTTTATGAAATAGAAACAACATTATCGAAATTTATCAGAAGAACGGTAAGAGACACTTTATTCGAACTTATAAGTAAAATGGATAGAAGCGTTATTCAGAGTATTGATGAAGAGAATATAATGAATGGTAAATCTAAGAAGATGAAAAGAGAAGATCAGATTAAAGATGACGGACCCATTGGGGGTATTTTGACTTCTGACGGGGAGACGCAGATGCTGATGGGGACATTCCAAGCAATAATGAGACCTGGAACATTAAATTTACCAAACATACAAGGGTAAGCTGACATAGTTGAATAAACGGATGGATACAGAAATCTATACTCAAATATATGTTGGATGCTTGGTAACCAAAGTATTTTTTGTATGGTAACGGATTAATAATACGGAATGTTATACCCCTATTCAACCCGTGGGTGTCGCAAGAGCCGACTAAGGGAGTAAACTACGCAGGACAAAAGAGAAGGAAAACTTGAAAAAAACCCTCTACCAACCTGTCTGGCCAGCTTAGTATAGTAGACCAAAACTTTCTAAGGAGAGGCATATGTCCAGCAGTGTATAAATAAATAAATATCATCAGACTCTCGCATAGTATTAGGGAACTATTGGTGAGCATCTTAGATATACCTATTGCCAACAAGGCAAAGCCTCTCGGAAGTGCGAACTACACAATAGAACACAGTGGACTATTATAGGCTGTTGATGTGATGATGTGATTTTCTGCACGGGAACTAAATACTGCAATAGATTGTCGCATTTTTGAAAGAAAGAAATTTTGTAATTAATATTGGTTAGTGATTTTGACTGCGAACCAGGATCTTACGATGGATTCTCACCCAAGACAATTGTGTGATGAGCACAGCCATGTGATTTTTGTCTACATGTAATTTATCTATAATATGTGATGTGATATAGTATTTAGAAATATATATGTATATTTACTAGGTGGTGCCTGCAAATTACCTTAGTGAGTTCGATTCCCAGACCGGTCAAAATTTTATAGAGTTTTTCTAAGAGAAAAAATAGCCTACTCCTTATACAAGGTGTAAGGGACATCGTACCGAATACTGCAATAATGTATTCAGACCATGATTCTGAGTCGAAAATCATTGAAATTTTCTGCAGGAAAATCCTTTTTTTTATTTCATTTTCTTTTTTCCGGTTAAAAATGATGACAAATGATATCACAATGAGTAGACAGAACATTTTACCGAAAACAATTAAATAAATACCAAAAAACTGCAATGTATTTAATGAAACAGCCGAAGAGCGCGAGGCCTCCCCTTCGGCAGCCATTTTGTGTTAGACTGTTTACACAGAATACACATGTAGTTATTACTTTTGTGCGATACCTAAGGGGAATGACCTAAGCCTTTGACAGCTGATTGCATAAAAAGTTTAATTTTCCAACAGAAAATTCCAATGATTTTCGACTTGGAATGATGTTATACTCTGACACTATTTCAGTATTCGTTACGACGTCCCTTACATCGGGTGTAGACATCATCATCATCATCATCATCAACAGCCTATAACAGTCCACTGCTGGACATAGGCCTCTCCTTAGAAAGGAGGTGTAGACATGTACCTGTAGAAAATATTATCAAAATCGGTGGGAAGTATAATATGTATGTATTTAGAAATTTATGAGGATGTTTATCAGCAGTCTGGTTACCATAGTACAGGTTCTGCCTAGTTTGGGATCAGAAGTCCATGTGTTAATATGTAAAGCAATTATTTTTTTTGGATATATTCATATGTATATGTCAGGTCTTAGAAAATCACGACACAACCTTAAAGCAGCGTCCACACTATGCCGGAGTATGCCGGGCGAGGCCGGGCGGGCTGACCCGGGCGGGTTCGTTCGGGCCGGCACGACGTCCACACCGAAAACGAGGCCGCCCGGGTTATATCTACCTATTAGTTTCAATTCGACACCAAGACTGGACAACTAAAGCCGCCCGGTGCCGCTCGGCACGTCCCCACTACATATTTTCGTTCGGCTCGGGCCGGCATCCTTTGATCTGTACCTACTTTCTGCGGGTTGGGATCGGCTCGGCTCGGGCCGGCTTCTTAAGCCGCCCGGGGCGTCCACACCAACCCGGCTTAGGCCGCCCGGGTCAGCCCACTCGGCCTCGCCCGGCATAGTGTGGACCCTGCTTAAGGAGTCAAACAGTGACTTATAAAGCGGTGATCTGTTAATTATACAATGAATTTACTTCGACCCTGAAAAGGTAATAAATAAAACGTTTTAATTGCAACAATAACAATTTATAATGATATGGATACACGTTCAATAAATAAACACATACCTTACACAGTAAAACTTCCAATAAATTGAGCATTATCTTTAAAAACACCAACAGTTTATCAGTTAAAATATATAACATTTTTTTTTGTTGGATGAAATACCCATACCCATAGTCCGTGTGGTGACGGATTAAGAATACAAATTGTCACCACCCCAATTCATCCCGTGGGTGTCGTAAGAGCCGACTAAGGGAGCAAACTAAGCAGGACAACAGCACTGCAAAGAGAAGGAAAACTTGAAACAAACCCTATACCAACCCGTCTGGCCAGCGTGGTATAGTAGGCCAAAACCTCCTTTCTAAGGAGAGGCCTATGTCCAGCAGTGGACTAGTATAGGCTGTTGATGTGATGTGTGATGAAATACCCAAAACCGTACGTCAAACATGAATGCTTTAAAATACAACATTTTAATAAAACTTTCATCCAAAATGAGATCTGCTGAGCAACAAGAGATAAAATGCGCTTGTCTCTGAGTTGCAAGTGTTCATGGTCGGCGGTAGGCGCTTACCATCAGGTGACCCGTCTGCTTGTTTGCCCCCTGTACCATGAACAGGATAATTATTATTACGGAGTGTCACTACCCCTATGTATCTCGTGGGTGTCGTAAGAGCGGCCCAACGGAACTACGCAGGACAACAGGGCCTCAATTCTGCTATTTTATGTTAACGCCAAGTCACTGTCATTCCATTGACACGCTATTGAGATGCCACTGAGATCATCGGTCATCGGTCAAAATATCAGTATTCTACTAACATAAATTCACAGTGTCAATAGACTGTCCGTATAATAATATAGGTCATCAATGGTGATATCAACAGCATTGCCATACCTGGAAAATCTATACTACTAATATTATAAAGCTGAGGAGTTTGTTTGTTTGTTTGTTTGAACGCGCTAATCTCAGGAACTACTGGTCCGATTTGAAAAATTCTTTCAGTGTTAGATAGCACATTTATCGAGGAAGGCTATAGGCTATATATCATCACGCTAAGACCAATACGAGCGGAGCACCAATGAAGAATGTTTCAAAAACGGAGAAAAATTATTACTATTGAGAGACGCAGACGAAGTTGCGCGGGTCGGCTAGTTAAATATATAATGTTCTTACAAATTTAAAATGTACCGTTTATTAAACTGTTACAAAGACATCGACGACATTTGTATCACTGACAAGCCATTGGTCTTACATAATTAGTAGAATAGGAAAAGTGCAAAACTATTCTGAAGACACTCCATAGACAGTCCATTGATAGCAGAATTGAGGCCCAGCACTGCAAAGAGAAGGGAAACTTGACACAAAACCTATACCAACCCTTTACCTTAAAAAAGTATCTAAAAAACCCGGGTTGTGTACCCAAGTTGTTAGTATTCCAGAACCCATTTACAACTAGAATATGAATAGTGTATTAACCCAATACTTAACATTTATCCAAAACCACTTAATAATCAGGTTTCTATAATTGACGTTTAGCTAACGAACCTTTTAAATTTATTTAGACTTATAACTTTAGTTTTTTTGTTTCATGTATACACGGCAAACAAAAACCCTGGTCAAGCTTACATGTGTGTGTTATTCCGGTAACTATTATTATTATTGGCAATGTTATACATTTGCCAATTATTATTGGTATTTCAAAACCATTGATTGAAAACCAAAAAAAAATAAAAAAATTCGAGGTATTTCGTACTACTGACCAGGTACTTCGGCTGTCGTTTATATCATGTTCCAAATCTAGGAAGTCATTCTATAAGCTTCATAAATAATACAAAATACGAGCAGTCTTGTAGCACTTTTAAATCAAAAGATCAAATCTTTAAATAACGCATTACCATCACCTAGATTTTTTGAACCATCTGTTCACACTACAATAGTAATATCAGATATAAATTAGTTCTAAGTAAAAAATATTAATGTACAGAAGTCTCACTTTTGTATTACGGTTACGTAATAAGCTACTCTAATACCTAGGCAATTAAGCACAAATAGGAATGAATTTGGAAAATTCATACTGAATATTGTGACCTTGTAAGTATGATGTCAGCCATGGCCCTGTCGGCCCTGTTGGCTCGCGCTCAGTCGAGGTAGAGGCGCACGAGCGAGTGGTCGCCGGCCGGGCAGCGCGTGACGGGGCACGCGCCCGTCGCGCGCACGTGACGCGAGATGCACGAGTAGCAGAATATGTAGCTGCCAATTACACATAAATATCTTAAATACCATGGATCTTCGCCATTTTTACTTTGTACTAGAAGTAGGATTCGAACATAGCGTTATAGTCCATCGACGTCGTGCGCGACACGTCGTGTGCGGGGTGACAGACGGTGGCGGGGACGAGGTACTCAAGATGTCAGCGGGTAGCGGGGAAGGGAACACTTCTCTTCCTGTGTAGCCGTGTGCTAGAATGACGCGCTGCCTGCCCCCGCCACTGTCTGTCACCCCGCGGGACGGTCGCCCACGAGATTGCCGAGTTATAGTAATCCCCTTTTACTTAGCGCAGTTATTCATATATCAATAGGCAAGACAGAAAGAAAATTTATTTCAGAAAAATGATTTCATTTTGACAAACATAGGTCGTTTGGAAGTAAATGTATTTCTATATAGTGCCCAGTATATATGTTAATGTGTTATGTGCTCAAAGTCTATTTAATAAAATATCAAATTTACTGATCCATAAAAATAAAAAGATAATTAATTGTGGTGAAATTGCGACTCAAGAAACGATAAAATCAATTTCAAGTCCATTGTTCAATATGTTTTTAATTAGCAGTGTATTTTATTAACCATTTGTCGCTTCCACTTAAATTAAAAATAATGTTATGCATGTAAACACGGTTAACGAAATACCTGATCAGGTTTACGTGTATGTAAATTGCAAAAGTTTCTTCATTCATAAATTTGCAAATTATTATTGTTTCAAAGCTTTCCCTAGCTAGAGTAATAATTCATTAAAATTACACTGACCAGGTATTTAGATTGCCGTGTTTACGATAAGAATAGATATAATAATATTTGGTATATATGTATCTATACGTGTTATATTCACGGCCGTATTGCGTAGTGGTTTGTGTAAGTTTTTATAGGCTACTAACAACCGAAATTACTAGTATTCCCGTTAAACCCACCCCTTAAGCTAAATTGCTTGTGTTAGGAATTTACGTCGGTTAGGATTCGACTTCTTGATCGTAAATCCAATGCCTTAACCACTAGGCTGCCGCCGCTTTGTAATGGCCTGCTACGCCAAAGGTCAAAGTGGAAACACCACATACTCCTGGCTCCTATATCCCCAAGGAGCCGGAGATCCGAAGGGATTCACATCTCCGTCAAAAAAAAGGTATAATATGTACGTTATTACAAAAAGAAGTACAAATGTATTTATATCAGTTGTCTAGTACCCATAGTACAAGGTCTGCTAAGTTTGGGACTAGATGGCGTTGTGTGAATGTGGTAGAATATTGATCGTATTTTGGCAGTATAAATTAAAAACAGGTGCATACATACCCAGAGACAGGTAACACTGTGGGTATTTTCCAGGACTGCAAACACAGCGGACATTTGTTCCGCCAGCGGACAGCACGCTCGTCCCGCTATGACGCGAACATCATATTAAAAAGTAAATTGAGGTCGTTATTTTACTTTAAATTCAATAATAAAATAGAAAAAAAATGCCTGTTGGAGCCACAGGAAAGCAACCTTAAGTTGCTTAAGAAGACAAATACCGCATTAGGAACATAACCTGTGTCGCGGGGGACTTTACAAACCTATATGAAACGGACACAAAGAACACCCAAACAACAATTTGTGGATCACACAAAGTGTTGTCCCATATGGAGATCGAACCCACAACACTCAGCGCAGCTATTGCTTACACTCGACCTGTATAAGCAATTGTAAAGCCCTTACCAATCATTGGTTTTGCATTGTGCACAACTTATTTTGCCTTGTGAACAACAATGTTTTTTCCATATACTCACAATTTTCCACATCTTTAATTGTCAATGTGTCTGGTTTTAATACATCGCTACGTGCTCTCTCATGGATATAGGCGTGATTAAACGTGCGCCTATAAACCAAAGCCATTCTTACCACTACAACCATTGAACTGAAACTAAATCCTTAAATGATATAAATGCTTATAAGTTAGGTTTGATTGTTTCACTGTTGAGTATAAAAAGGTAGCTATGAAAGGGAAATGGCGACGCGTCGCCACACCGAATTACACGTTGTATACTATGACATTGGTCGATCTGACCCTCCACTCCCTCCTTAGATGTTTCAGATCAATAAAAATTGTCTTAGACACCAGCAAAGTCGCTACCAAAGCCAATAGCACATATATACATACATAAAATAATTTTGAACAAACCTGTGGCGGTTCTGGTGTTGGCAGGGCGGCGGTGTGCACGGCGCGAGTGTCCCACCAGCGCAGGAACTGCACACCGAACGCCCCGTACTCCATGGCACTCAGTACCAAGCTACCCAGCATGGGGAACGTCACCATGGCACTCCTGCAAAATATTGCGAGTCAAAATCTGTTCATCCCTTTATGAGCTATGGACGGTCTACCCCTTTGAGAGTGTAATCGTAAAAAGGTATATTGGTAGAGATACTTGCTGTGTAAGTCTCACTACTCACCCGAACCGTCCAGTAATAATATTTCTGAGGAGATCTCCCCACGTGTTTTCCTCGAGTTCCCTCGGAGGAGCCTCCCTGAGCGCGAGCCCGAGCAGCGCCAGGGCGGGCGCGTGGCTGCGCGACCCCCCGGCGAGGTAGCGCGCGAGCTGCACCAGCCGCACGCACGACGTGATCGTGTACACGATGCTGTACGTGCGGATAGCGGCGCGTCTCAAACTATCGGACGAACTCTTAAATAAAAATAAATACTTTTAGACATATAGCTATGAGTGGTGGTGTAAATTGCCACCAAACTAACTGAGTATTATGGTTCGATTCCCACACCAAAGCTCTTGAGTCTGAACGTTCTTCGTTGGTAAATCGCCGCAATACAGAAACCATTCTAACTGTGAGAATTATCTTATACTAGTTGACCCTGCAAACTTTGTTTTGCTATTTACATTATTTAATTATTTTTTTTTTTTTGAATTTCGTAAAATCCGTTCTTAGCTGACCTCTACTCGGTGAAAAGAATATTCCTACCAAATTTCAAGTCCTTAGCTCTAATGGTTCCAGAGATATCGTGATGAATGACTATATACGTGGAAATCTCTTATATATATATATATATATATATATATATAGATAAGAAGAAGTAGCTAAGGACTAGCATAATACAGAAGATAATTTAAGCTCTAACCTTGCTAAGTCTGCCATCTTCCTCATCTTCTCTCCACTTCTCCACAATTTTCTCTATTTTATCCTTAATATATGGTAACAAGACTAGTACGGCTAAAGAAGCTCTCTCCAAGTAAATAGGTAAATGCTGTCCCGTGTTGAACTCACTGCTGATCTTTGGTACACGGACAAGCTCATAGAAGCTTTCGGAGAATGATGCAGCTAAAATACAACAGAGCGTTATTGATACTCTTTACTAAATGTTTATAAAAATATCAAGTGTTTAATACTACCATAGTGTTTAAGATAGTAATACTGCAGGCAGCAATCGAACAAAAGGTACAGCTCATCATACCAATTAACACTCCAACCACATTTGTTTGGGTAATTGGCTGCGAGAAACTGAAAAAAAAAACAGTGGCACTCCGGGATTGTCGACAGAAGTAAAAACTAGAAAATTATTTTTTTTCATTATAACAGGTTTTTTTTTCGATTCAACATCCGACATGAATATATATTACAAAAAAGTCCTGTCATAATCAAAAATTTATTATATGTATTATTTTTGTAAATACATATAATAGATATGTTTATATTCGGGCCTGTTGGTCTAGTGGTTAGTGACCCTGACTGCTAAAACGGGGGCGTGGGTTCGATTCCCACCCAGGACAAATATTGTGTGATGAGCATGGTCATTTGTTCTGTGTCTGGGTGTAATTTATCTATAATATGTATGTATTTAAAAATATATAAGTGTTTATCAGCAGTCTGGTTACCATAGCTCAGGCTCTGCCTAGTTTGGGATCAGACGGCCGTGTGTGATATGTGTGAGGTATATTATTATTATTTTATTTTATTATATATCAATGTATTTCAACCCAAAATCAAGTCTCGTGTAAACAGGGCCAAGATATGTAGATACTTATATACAGAGGTGTCGGTAACGGTAACTGTGTCGAAAGCACAACGATTTTTTTCCATCTCAAAAAATACATTGTTATGTTTGTTGTTATAAAATGCCCAATGCGCTTAAAGAAGATTTCCCTTCGAAAAATCAAAATAGGTGATTCCAATAAATACTGCAAAGTATTAACTCCTTATTTTTACTTTTTCACTGAAAAATGATAAAAAGAAGACTTAAATATTTTTAATAATAGGCTACCAAAATTATAAAACACTAAATAAAAACTTCTTTGGAATAATACTGGAAGGAAAATTAGAAGGGAAGAGAAAACGGGATGGCCTAGATCAACATACATACAGCAAGTGAAGGAGAAAGACAGAGATGTGGCCTATCACGAGGTCAAACAAATCTCAGGAAATAAGGAGGAGTGGTGATTGCTCCACCGACAAGGACTTGGCTTTTAAAAGGAGAAAGAAATAACAACTCTTGCTATGAAGGAACAAAGTTCAATATTGATTGTAAACATGCCAATTAAACTAAACACTTTTATCTACCTATTGAATTGGAAGTACTTACTACTGGCACTGGTCTATGCTTAAAGTACATAAGCAGAAAAACATTACATTACGTAAATAATAACATCACACATCACACTCATAGCAGTCTGATAAACATACTTATATACAAGTCCTGTCAAAGGCAAGTACACTGACTGGATATTAGGTTTTAAACTAAATTGATGTCGTAATTAATAAACCACCTGAAACACAGGTCACACACCTAGCTCATGCCATTTGCAAAAGACATTTGTAATATTTATATTTTACTTTTTTTTGTTGTTCACTCTTGGACATTTTAGAGGTCATAATATAGGTATATTAGTCTTATGTTAGCTTTAGTAATAAGCTTTATATTAAAATCTAAGGACAATAAGATGTAAATCATATACAAAATATAATCAAGACCTTATTCTGCAAATAAATTTTATTATTATTAATAGTGGTCTAACTATATTACATGTAGTATTACCACATTTAGATAATTAAATATACGTTATGTAACTAGAAAACGATATAAAAAAAAATAACTTAATTAGTAGTAGAAGTGTTTTAGTGAATGTCTTTAAGAAGGCACAGTTACCTCAACTACTTTTTGTAATGCAGGTTTCACTGTCGCTCCAAGTGCTTCCTGAGCTGTTACTTGAAATATACTCGGCGTTCCTTGTAATGTCCTTGTTAAATGGGCCGCATAAACCGCCATTTCTACTTAATTTTATTAAATATTAATTCCCTATCGAAGTCCAACGCCAGGTCAGTTTGTTTATCTTTTGACGTCATAAACTTTGAATGGAATGACAGCTTTGACGAGTTTGACGTACAAAAACTGTCACAGGTTTTGAACTTGTTAGATTTAAAAATATAATAATACACGTAATATTATAATATTCGAGTCGAAATGCTTAATAAGTAGCATAGAATAGTTTAATGTGGAGTATTATACTGCATTCACAGAAACTTAGGCAGTTAACACAATATCGATAGTATCAAGTTCTTGATCTATCAAAGCTGTCACAAGTTGTCAGCAGTGACAAATAGTGTCCACGAGATTCTGTCGTCGTCCGTTTGGTTAGCACGTGCGTCTAGAATTCTTGTGTGATTTTGTGACTATTGGGTCTTTTTTTTTTTGTTATTTTGTGCTGTCCTATTGGTTACGGTGTGTTGTTTGCAACTAAACATTACCGGTAAGTGAACATGAACGGAAATAAACCGCCCGACCCTCCCGATATTCCATATCCAGTAACCCCTCCTTTCACCCCTACTCCTTCCCTACCCGATCAACCCTCAACCCCTTCCAACCCCTTAGAACAGTTTGCCACTGTGATCTGCAATGCAGCGGTCCAAGATAATTGCCCTCTCGCTACAAACTCACGTAAACGACATGTGAACGATGAGGTAAGTACCCCCCCTATTAAACGTAGCCCTAATCAAGTAAGAAGCCCGCTAGGTCGTGACAAGTACACGACAAATGATACTGGTCCCTACATTGTGCATGTTTCCCGCATGGAGACCCAATTGGGTTCTGGCACAACTCTCCACCCTGTCTCTTTTGGTGTTTTCCTTTTTAAAAATAAAATTAACAATGTGGTCAGAGATGGAGTCAAAAAAGTAGGTCGTAATAGGGTGTCAGTACAGTTTGCATCCCCTCAGGATGCCAACTCATTTTTAATAAACCCCTTACTAAATTCACATAAATACACTGCCATCATCCCCACCTTTAACATCACTAGAATGGGTGTAGTATCAGGCATCCCCACCGACATGGATGATGAGGATGTCATTAAATTTGTTACAGTGCCGCAGGGTTGCGGCCCAATAATTAAAGTCAGGCGCCTTAATAGGAAATGTTTTACTGAAGGTCTATTGGAATGGAAACCTACGGAAACCTGTGTCCTCACTTTTGATGGCCAGGTTCTGCCTAAAAGAGTATACTGTTGTTACAACTCGCTTCCTGTTCAACAATATATTTACCCAACCGTACAGTGTAGGAAATGCTGCAGGTTTGGCCATGTGGAGTCCATCTGCAGGTCCAAACCAAGATGCAGCAAGTGTGGCCACGAACATCCTGGTAATGGTTGTGAGGTATCAGAAAGAGAGGCCTTTTGTGTGCTGTGCTCCGGTGACCACTTTGCTTATAGCAAGGCTTGCCCGGAGTATGGTAGACAGAGAGCTATTAAGACCATGATGGCGGAAAGGAACATATCCTACATGGAAGCAAGCAAGGTTGTTCCCTCTCCAACACGCCGATACGCTGACATCCTAAAAGCTCCACAACTCAACCAACTCTCTCAACCTTCTCAATCCACTCAGCCTACCCAATCCCTCCAGCACACACAGTCCTACAAAAAAACTGTGGTTCGCCAACCTAAACCTCGATCCCCACTCTCACACTCCTATGATAAAGTCGCACACCAAGCCATTACTCAACCTCCCCAACCTTCACAACCTAATGGTTGTGCTATGAATAACTCATCCCTTGAATCCTCAACTATTGATCTTCTGTTACAACTCTTAACCTCCCTACTATCCCCCAATTCATCTCTATCCCAGTCTATTATACCGTCCAACGTTGCTGTCTCACTTATCAATATTTTAACAAATTTCAAAAATGGCGTCCCACAAAGTATTCCTACAATGGAATGTGAGGAGTGTATTCCATAAAAAACACGACCTCATATTCCTGCTGAACAAATTCAAGCCTCTGGCTATTTCTCTCGCTGAGACCTGGCTTTTACCAAGTCTCAACTTCCATGTCCCCCATTTCAATATTCTTAGATGTGATAGGCCTGATGGCTATGGAGGTGCTGCCCTCCTTATTAATAATAAAATCCCCTTAGTCCCCCTATCCTTGCCCCCATTCCTTGAGGATATCAGCGTGGTTGCAGCTAAGATCTGTAACATATCTGTGCTCTCTATTTATATAGCCCACCCCCATCAAAGTTTCCTGCCTACATTGAGAACGATTTTACAGGATCTACAGGGCCCAATATTGGTTATGGGAGACTTTAACTGCCATCACTATAGATGGGGATCTGAACACTGCGACTCTTTCGGTTCAGGTTTAGTGGAGATCCTCGATGATCTGAGCCTCTGCGTACTTAACAGTGGCTGCTCCACTCGTAGAGTTCTTCCTGGTCAAAATAGTAGCTGTGTGGATTTGACTATTTGCTCACTCGACATCGCCGCAGCTGCTAGCTGGCAGTGCACCGATCTGTCCCATGGTAGCGATCATTATCCAATTTTAGTAACCCTCCCAACTTCAACCCACTTGGTAAAATCCCCCCCCCCCCCTTTTAAAATATATCCTTTCAGAAGCTAACTGGCAAAATTTCTCCCAAACCCTCGAAAACTCTGTGAATGCTCTCCCCAGACTAGACCTTAGACCCTTAACCCAGGATGATCGTTACCTGGTGATGGACTGTTGTGACGCGTTCGTAGAGGCAATCAGATCAAGTGCAGACAGTTCCTTCAAAATTAAAAACTCGAGCAAAGGCAAAATTCCGTCACCTCCTTGGTGGGACAGTGAATGTACTAGGGCAGTCAAGTATAGGAAGGAGTCCGAAAGGAGATATAATGCCGATATGACCACCCATAATCTACTCACCTACCAAAACGTTTTCGCCTCTACCAAAAGACTCCTTCGACGCAAGAAGCGCGCCGGTTGGGTTAAATTTTGTTCCTCCTTGTCCCCATCCACCCCATCCTCAATGGTGTGGAAGAACATAAATCGGTTCCGATCTGGTTGTTCGCCCTCTGTCTCTTCCTCTATCTCCCCCAATACAGCTGAGCTTTTCCTGGACAGAATTGCCCCCCCGTATGTCCCACAACTCGATGAAGCGACCTTACCAGACTTACCGTTTCAGTCAGTGGATACCCATGACGACCCATTCTCTCTGGAAGAACTGAACATGGTCCTCAACAGTGTGCGAGACTCGGCTCCTGGCATAGACGGCATTCCATATTCTTTCATAGTTCAGGCCAAGCCTAGTACAAAAACTTATTTTTTAAACATTTTGAATTTCTGTTATTCTAACGGTTGGATCCCAGATACATGGAAAGTTCAAATTATTATCCCCATTCTAAAACCAGGAAAACATGCTGGTGATCCAAACAGCTTTAGACCAATCGCCCTCTCATCAGTCCTTATTAAATTATTAGAACATCTCATCAAAAACCGTCTCGAATGGATTGTAGAGTCAAGGAATCTACTGCCAAACTATCAGTTCGGCTTTCGCAAAGGGCTCAGTACAATGGACAGTGTTGCAGTTTTAATAACTGATATCCGTCTTTCTTTGTCACAAAATGCATCTGTTCTAACATCTTTTCTCGACATATCTGCTGCATATGACAATGTCTTAATACCCATTCTCAGGCAGAAACTGCATCAGCTGAGAATTCCGGTTAAGATGATCCACTGCATATGCGCAATGCTTGTGTCCAGAACTCTAGTCCTAAGGACCTTAGGTGAAGAGTTTGGCCAAAGAAAGACCTGGAGGGGCTTACCACAGGGCTCTGTACTGAGTCCGATGTTGTACAATCTATACACTGCCGACATGGGTTCATGCCTAAACAATGATTGTAGCATCCTTCAATATGCCGACGATCTGGCATTATATGTTTCGAACCATTCCATCCAAGAGGCAGCCACATCACTCACTATTTCCCTTAATTCTCTGTGGCAGTGGCTATCAGATCATGGCCTTAGTCTTTCTGCTCAGAAAAGTGCGGTTGTTATTTTTACAAGAAAGAAGACTCTGCCACAGATTGATGTCCAAGTACAGCTGCAGGAAATTCCTTTATTAAACAAATTTAAGTTCCTAGGAGTATATCTTGACTCTAAATTGACTGGCGTTCACCACATGAACCATTTAACCGCAAAATGTGAACGTGTAATCCCAATTTTAAAGGCCCTAGCTGGGGTCTGGTGGGGAGCACACCCATACACCATGAAACTGGTATATAATGCCTTAGTACGCAGTATATTGGACTATGGGCTATTTTTACTGATTCCAGGCAATAAAAGCGCTTTGGCAAAGCTGGACAGAGTCCAATCTAGGTGCCTTCGCATTGTTACTGGTTGCATGAAGTCCTCCCCTATAAATGCCTTACAAGTGGAATGTTCAGATCCACCTTTATCAATAAGAAGACAATTTCTCGCTTCACGTTTTATAATAAAATCTGTTTGTAAATCTTCCCATCCTCTTCTTCCAAAAATCTTAGAATTAGACTCCATTTGTACTACCTCAAATTACTGGACTCATAAGGGAATTCCATTGATTCTACAATCCTTTCGCTCCTACTCTACTTTTTTTAACTCTGCTGTGTCATTTGACAAACTCCCTCTGTTTTCCTTTAATTATAGCGTCCTTTGTTTTAAGCCGAATGTTCTTCTAGATGTTGGAATCCCTAAAAAATCTGCCTCTTCTGTTTCCACCTTTAATACACACTTAGCTGAACACTGGGATGGGTTTGAGAGGTTCTTTACTGATGCATCCAAACTTAATAATGATAGCTACACTGGAGCCGCTGTGTACTTCCAAAACTCCAGAATTCTCTTACAGTATAAGTGTCCAAAAGAGGCTTCAGTTTTTACAGGCGAGTGTGTTGCTATCTTAGAGGCATGCTTGTACATTGACTCGCACAACATCCACAAGGCAGTCATATTCACTGACTCTCTAAGTTGCCTTAAAGCCCTGCTACAAA